AAATTGTGGAGAGCTCTGGATATCAGTTTGATGAGTGCCTTATGGAATGTAGATTTTTGAACACAGCAGGAATATGGACAGGTGTCTGTTAAAAGATAACTGTTAGCTTAGCAGTTTGGTTTCCCTTGCCCCATTTTCTTAACTCTCTAATTCATCTTCCAGTTGGGAGGCTACTTCAGCAGTACAGATCAGAAATGAGCACCTGATCCAAGGAAGTGGGGGGATGTAAAATTGGAAGACATCGTGAAAGAATTGATTTTGTCAGTATTGGAATGTTGGTGAAAGGAGAGCCAGAAGTCAGATGTGATTTGAGATTTTGTACCTGAGCCTATGGTAAGGCTTTTTAAAGATGAAGTTTGGGACAAAGGAGGAGCGGATTTTGTTAAGATAGTGATTGCCATTTAGTTCATGAATATGAAGTGTCTCAGGATTGTCACGAGGAGGAAAATGTATATATCCTTCATGTGGTCTGAGACACCAGGACCTCCAGAGAGACATTAATTAGGGCTGGGGACATAGTTTTGATGTAATCTTCATTAGATCATAGCTGAAGCTGCAGTTATGGATTAAGTTGACCAAGAGTAAATAATGTGATAAGAAAGGAGGACTGAACAAGCACCTAGGTTAGAGAGAGAGAGGATGACTAAATATTGGGGTAATGGATATTTTTAAGGGATAAGTAGAGGAAGAAATATTAGCAAAGGATCTTGAGAAGGAGCAAATGAGGTTGCAGGTACAGCCCTCCTCGAAAGGTGAATGTTCTTTCAGGAAAGACAAAAGCTATTCCTAGATAAAATCGTTGACATTTTGAACAGTTAAACAGAATTTTGAGGAAGGAAAGACTTACTTCCCATAGAACTGCTCTGATGGTATAGCTATTTCTTTCTATTTGGAGAAGTTGTTTGTGGGTTATGTATTTACTAAAAATGTCCCATAGTTAATAATGAAAGTGGCCCAAGGATAATTGAAAGCATTTTAAAACGCTAAATTAAGCCTATGTTGTTATTATGATTGTTGTAAGGCAAAATTTCCCTTGTTATCAGGAGATAATTCCTTCAATATTCTGCTTAGAAATTGTTTTTAGTGTTGCATTGTGGGTCCTTCCTTAAAAATATTTTGTAATGTTCATAATATAATGCTCTCCTGAATTGTGTCTTTTGGAATAGAATGGAGGGAATTAAAAATATTCATAGTAGAGTGCTCTTTGTTTAGACTCTGAACAAAGGCCTTTTAAAGATGTAATTGATTTATCAGTGTAGTGGTTTCATTGTTAGAATGCTTCAGAAATATTTTCTTGTTAGAATACACAGTGCCAACTTATTTTATTTTTCCCTTAAAATATACTTTAGAAAATAAAATTGCTTCCTTAATAGGTTTCCTCTGCTGCCAGAAGAAGCTACTGCCACAGCATTTTTCTGTGTAGGCAGGTGTGGCTTCATTTGAGTGTCTGTTTATATTAAGTCCGTCAGTGAAAATCTGGGTAGTTTGCTTGGCTGCTGATATAAATCAATAGGTAACTTGTACATAGACCCTCTCCGTATAAATGCAACTGACAACAGCTCTTCCCACTTATTGAGAGAATGGTTCTCTGTTTGGGATGGTCAGAACTCATTTTATATTCAGTCTTTGGATGAAAATGCAATTGTTTATTTTCGCAGATGTCATTTGTTAAAGATTCTAGCAGTAACAATGAAAGTGGGAAGAGGGAATAAATATTTTTTTTTTGACTAGAAAAAGCTTAGGTTGTAAGTATATTGAACAAGAGGAGAATTAAAAGTATTCCTCGCATGTATTTTCACTTCTCTCAGTTTGTTATTGATGTTTTAAGCACTTGTGATGGATTTAAGGTGAATGGAAGGAAGATGAGGGACTAGACTTCAGGGAAGAAAATCAGTGATTTTAGCTTACAGTAGAGAGATAGCTTCCATACTCACTTTATGCCTTAGATATATATATGTATATATTTTTAAATAATGTTTTATTGTGTTTTTGGTGAGTGTCTTAGATATTTTTTAATTGAGATTGTGTGTATTAAAAAATCAAATATTGGTAACTCGAGTATTTATGTTCTAATCAAGTATTTTAGAATTTTAGGATAATATTTTGCCTAAAGAAGACTTGAGCTGAATGTTTTGTGGAGAATTCTTGTAAATGTTGGTAGCTAATTTCTAATCAGCTATGCTGGACAAATGTAGTTTTCCTAAAAAGAGATAAACCTGTAGGTACCTTGACTTTTACATTTTTTCCTTAAAAATGATGATAAAGCCAATTTTACTACTAGAACTCATTTCAAAAATATTTCTGGGCTATTTATATGACTAGTTTATTTTATGAAGTAATAAAATGCATAAAAATAGTAAGACTCAGTAACTTACCCAAATAAGGTATTTCTGAGAGCAGTAACCCATTGCTGTCGAGTTGATTCCAACTCATAGCGACCTATAGGACAGAGTAGAACTGCCCCATAGGGCTTCCAAGGCTGTAATCTTTACGGAAGCAGAGTGCCACATCTTTCTCCCACAGAGCGGCTGATTGGTTCAAATCACCAACCTTTCGGTTAGTGGCCAGGTGCTTTAACCACTGCACCACCAGGACTCCTCTGAGAGTAACAGACATTCGAATTATTACTTCTTATCACGTTAAAAGAATTTCATAGGTTTGAACATTTTAAGTGAATAGAACTCAATATCCTAGATCATGTAGTAGAAATATGTATAGTAGTGTTCTGTGGTAAATGTGACAATCAGTTAATTGTAGCAAAAATCTTTTTTAAATTCCCTTTCTAACAAAGAAAATGGCAATGTAGGGTCACTAAGAGTTGGAATTGACTCATCAGCAATGGGCTTGGTTTTTTTGGTTTTTACCCATATTTTTACCTCACTCTGATTCCCTCATCTATTTATATACTATTTACTTTGTAGGATAGTTTATGGACAACAATGTTCTAGCCATATTAAAAGGATTTAAAATAATGTAGTTTATGATTTGAACATTATAACCTAAAAGACAGATTTTCACATTATTATTATTATGATTAGTCATAAAAATTCTTGCTCCCAAATCCAGGAATCCTTTATCGTCTAGCCAAATTTAGAATAAAGACGTGTTTCTAGAAATTTTATAGTTTTTGAGTATAATTAAGTAAGATAGAAAAAGTCCTATTTCTGCAGTAACATTGTTGTAGCTGTATGAGAGCCAGAACCTTATTTTGGGAGTAGGGGTAATGCAGGAAAAAGGACAAGACAAGGCCACAGAAATGGGTTTTCAGCAGTAGTTGGAACTGGCATTTTCCTTTGAGAATTTAATATTCTAATTCTACTTTTTTTCTATTAATGAAGGGAAGAAATTGTTTTATCTTCAGCATTTCTGAAAGAATTACGATATGAAATTACATTTGTTGCCCTTGAATGGTATTCAAATTCCATGTCCCTCCATCATTGTATCTTTCTTCTGTTAAATGATACTTTAAATTTTATAAAACATTTTTCAGCATCAGCATGTTGACGGAGATGTTATATTTACAATTTGCTCTTGCTGCCTTCTTGGGAGGAGCAGTGATGAGCAATAGTTAAGGGCTCAACTGCTAACCAAAATATCAGCAGTTTGAACCTATCAACCACTCCGCAGGAGAAAAGATCTGGTGATCTGCTCCTGTAAAGATTATAGCCTAGGAAATTCTGTGGAACGTTGAATTGCCTTGGTGGCACACAACAAGATCAGCCGTCTTGAGAGATGAAGTTCTCCCCCAGTTTCTGTTTGGGATTGTTGTATTATATTACCAAAGATGTATTGTCTAACAACAGAATACTTAAAGCAGTGATAACAACACTTGCTTACACACACACACACACACACACACACACACACACACACACACACACACACACACACCCTACTCCTCACTTATCAACTGCCTTGTTATCTGACATTTCGCATTTACAACAATAGTAAAAAATCTACTATCCGACTATTTTGCACATTAACGTTGTATGTCTGGCAGTAACGAACGCCGAGGTGCAAGGCGAGAGTAACACTGGCTTTGATGGTTAAGGTTATGTGTCAGCTTGGCTGGGCCATGATTCTCACTAGTTTAGCAGTTATGTAATGATGTAATGTGGTGATATGCAGTGATGTAATTTGGCTGTTATGTAATGATGTGGTCATCCTCCATTTTGTGATCTGATGTGGTCAGCTTCCATTTTTGCATGATGCCAATTTTCGCATAGTGACCTGGTCTTTGGAATCTAACTATGTCGATAAGTGAGGAGTGGTGTGTGTGTGTGTGTATTTTTTTCCTTTAATTAACAATGGCTAAGAATATTTTTAAGGAGCCTGGGTGGAACAAGTGGTTTGCAATCACCTGCTAACCTAAATGTTGGTGGTTTGAACTTACCCAGTGGTGCCACAGAAGAAAGAAGGCCTGGGGATCTGCGTCCGTAAAGATTACAGCCAAGAAAGCCCTATGGAGCAGTTTTACTCTGAAACACATGGGGCACCCTATGTTGGAATTGACTCTACGGCAACTAGCAACAACAAATTTACTCTAACTTAGGGGGAAAAAGATTATTCACTTGATAAACAAGGATTTTTCCTTTAAAAATCTGTAAAGTAGCTTGTTAAACTGAATGATCTTTAAAAGCGTTTGTGTTTATAAAACTAAGTTTTGATTTTATGTTTGGACATTCTTAAACCTTAGCCTTAATAACTTGTGATCTTTTACCATGAGTTTGGCAACCCATTAATTGCCACAGCTGGGTTGGTCGTAAACATAGGTGTGAGTAAATTAAGATTGTCATCTCCTTTGCTCTCAGGCTTGTTGATTCCTAGAACTAGGATTTCGCTTTCACTACTCACATCTCTAAGGAACCCCGGTGGTGCAGTGGTTAAGTGCTTGGCTGCTAACCAAAAAGATCAGTGGTTCGAACCTACCAGCAGCACCACAGGACAAAGGTGTGGCAGTCTACTTCCATAAAGATTCACAGCCTCAGAAACCCTGTGGGACAGTTGTACTGTGCCCTTTAGGGTCATTATGAGTTGGAATCAACTCAGCAACAGTGGGTTTGGTTTTGAGTTTTTTTTCACATCTCTGGAATTCATTTCCTCTTCAAGTTTGCCAAAACATGGTAAAGTAAGGTGCACAGTTTTCGTTCTTTCTAAAACTATTTCTAACCATGAAAATCAAGCTTAATTTTGTAGTGCCTGTTAGTCATGTGAACCCTGTACAACATCTCCATTTATACTGCTTCACACATCACTCACAGGACAAGTTCCCACAAAGACCTCCTTTGTTCTACTGTAGATCCATCCTAAAGAAACCAGTTTCCAAACTATGCACAGTTTTGTAAATCAAGATGAACTTGTTAGAAATTGGATACAGAAACAAGCAAGAAACCAAATCCACGCTTCCTTGTTAATAAGCAGAGAATGTTACATGTAATAAAATTGCAGGTAATGAAATGCTCTGCATTCTAAGACTATTCTGGTTAGAAAGTTTATCCCATTCATGTTATAATCATCGTTCAAAGTCATTTTCTTGTTCCTATTATCGTTAGAGTTATGAAAAAATAAATAATGCTTTTAGTAAGATATTCTAGGCAACAGAGATAGCGAGGGCAAAATGATAAAATGTGCTTTGGTTCTGGGCGTTTCTTAGCAAACTCTGTACGCAATAACCAAGGCTGAGACGGAAAGGAGTTTGGCATGTAAACACAAATTTCCCTTTCTGACAGCAGTTAACAGACCATGTAGTAAGGTGGGAATATAGTGGCATGCTGAATTTATTTTCCCGGAGTCTCTCTATGTGAGGAAGAAAGGAATGCCCGTGCCTTCCGGCAGTAGCTGTCTCGGTTGTTATAATGTTCACAGTTCATGAGTAACAGAGTATGTTTTGCACCATAGATTAAACTCAGACATAATTTCACAGCTTCATTTATGGTTTTTGAAGATACCGTTGAAACGTTTTCTCTTTAAATAATTGCTTTGTCAAATTATTTTACCTTTTTGTTTATAACTTTCAAGAATATCAAGCACTGTTTAAAGGTTTGGTTTTCTTTCAGGTGATCTCTAAATTCAGTATCAAATAACCTCCCAAAGAAACTGTATGTTTTGGATTGCTTTTCTTTCTCCCCTTGAGAAATTAAAAAAGGAAACAAAGAAAATTTAAACTGTTCTCATTATTCCAACAATAGGCAAAGACCAAGTTTCCACAGCCAAAGTAGATTAAAGAATTCTCCGTACTTAGTGAAAATAGATAGTCTAGGTCCTGAATCAAACAAATATGTTATATAGAACTATCATGGAAAACATATGGCATATTTAAAATTTTCCTGTCCTTATTTTCCAACACATTTTGAGAAGAAAATTATAATAAAAACATTTTCTCTCATAAAACCCCTTTTCGACCACAGACACTCATAAATGCTTTCTTATTTTCTGCTTTACAGAAAGCCAGTTAGCAAGGGTAACTTTTCTAAGACATTTTTCCTTATGTGGGAATACAAAAGGATTAAGTTGAATAATTAAATGCTTTCTTGCTTCCAACTGCTTCTCACCGGCACTCCTTTCTCAACTTTCATAGTCTCTCTTCTCCCTTACAGACTGGTAATTCAAGACTATCTCTCCCCTACAGACTGGTAATTCAAGACTATCTGATTTCCCAGTTTAATTCTAACTCTCGCTAGTAGGATTTGAATTGTTGAAACGGTAGTCTTAAAATATAAGTTGGGTTTTCTTATTACATTTTTGTTGAGGTATAATTTACGTACAATAACACGCACAGATCTTAAGTGTACAGTTTGAGTTTTGACAAATGTACACATCAGAATCAATAGGGAGGACTTTCTCAAAATACACCTGCCAGGAGGTTAAAAAGTTTTCTAGATGATTCTGAGCTACACTTCAGTTAAGAACCATGGCCTTTGTAAAAAACCAAAGTAAATGAGTAATGTACACAAAATACATAGTATATCATAAAATGTTATTGAAATTAAAGTTAATTATTTTTTTTAAAAAAACAAATTCCTCATGTGACTTTTTCATGAGTTTAGCAAAGCTTGCTCACATGGGTGAAATTCTCAATTTGTATTTCTATTTGTTTTTAAGAAAATAAATGCAAAATTTCATGATGGAGTATGTCAACACTGTAAAGAAGTTCTCGAATGGCGTGTAAAATATAGCAAATACAAACCACTATCAAAGCCTAAAAAATGGTGAGTTGACAAATTTCTTAAATACCTTATCTGTGATATGTGTATCATAGTTTATTATTTCATTCCCCAAATTTCAGAATTGTGTCCAAAAAATATTAGAGTAAATGGAAAAACAATTTGTCTCCCATGTAGAATTTCAGTCTTACGAGCTACATCCCTGTTTGTGAAGGCAGACATTGTAAAAGTGGATTCATCATTCGCTGCCCCCTGCTTCCATTAATAAGTAATGCACCATTTTTATAGAACCTTGTTCATAAAAGGCGGGTTGGAAGAAAGAAGAGAAAAGCAAGATTCTATCTCCAGTATTTATTATAGATTTTACCTAAAGTGTAGAAGGTCAGTCTAAATGGTAAGTGTAACTTAAACCTTTGGTGTTTATTTCTATAGAAAAATTACGTTAGCTGTTTTGTGAATCTAAAACTCAAGCTATGTGGTAATTGGTTTATTTGAGAATATTTAACAGCTTTGAGGGTTTTAATTTGGGTGATTTATTTTACCTAAGATGCTTCTTTTTAATACCGTGTAAGTCTTGCTTTTAACTTGTGTAAATTTACATTTTAAAGATCAAAAGAAAATTTACTCTTTGAAGATTTTGAAGCTATATTATTTAGAAGGGAGAAAAAAAGATTTGTTATGTAAGCCTTTCAAAAAAATTGTTTTATGAAAGATAAAAAGCATAGACTAACTTCAACTTTTTAGATTTTTTCCCAGTATTATAAAAATGTCTGACCTCTTCATCTAACTTCACAAGGGGGAGGAGAGAGAATCAAGATCATCATCAGCCCCAGGCTGACTCCTATGAGGTGGAGGTCAGACATACCACTTCCATCTATTCTTTTTACCAATTCTGACATCAGCCGTCCCTCCTACAGCACACTATTTCTCTGCTGGGTTTGGTAATCCATTGCAATGGCCACACAGAACTCACAGACCAGACTCACAGTTACGGAGTTTATTAGGGAAGTAACAGGTTATGACTTGGGATCAGGATTAGGAAGCATGTAGGCAAGGTCTTCCTTCTTCAGTGTGGAACAGCTTTCTCAGCCCCCTGAGGACAGGCTCCCTCTCTCAGCCCATAGCCCTTGGCCTTCAGCCCTCAGCCCCACTCAATCAAGTGTCACAAAGCTCTTTAGCGCCTCCAAAAAGTGCCCGAAGGCACCCCAGTCCACCAGGAAGCCTTGGCTCAAAGGCGTTCAGCTCTCTCACTCCATGGGTCAGCGAGCCTAGCTCCGCCAAGTGCCTAGAAGCACCCCACTCTGCCAGCAAGCCGTCTGCCTGAAGGCACTCAGCTCTCTCGCTCCACGGGTTGGCATGCCCACTGTAGCCACCTTGCTTTGTGAGGAAGCCCACCGTTCCATCTTCTCCAGTGTTACGGCTCTCTTTGTCTCCTGAGTCTAGGAGATTCTCAGCACAGGGACCCTGGGTCCAAAGGTCATGCTCCACTCCTGGCTCTTCTTTCTTGATGATAGTAAGGCTCCCCCTTCTAGCCCTGGGATGGGTCATTTTAAGCCTAGTGGGATGGCAAAACTGACCAATCCCCTTTTTAGGGTTCTATACACCTTATTTGCATGGTCCCAATCCCACAGGATTCCATGTATCTTATTTGCATTATTAGTAGGCTGTCCAATCCTATTGGTGGGCCACAAGTACCTTATTTGCATAGTCCCACCCAGTCATTCTGTGGAAGCCACAAGACCATGAATGGCTAGAAGGATCATATTAAGTAATTAACTGTACAGCGATTACTATTCAGAGCGGAAGTTTTAGTATTTATTACAGCTATAGATAATCTTCCTTTTAAATAGTTATACAAGTTTTTCTATATTTCAGTCTTTTCTTCGTGTTCTCCAGCATTTCATCCTAAAAGAAAACACTTTTAAACAAATCTGATAGGTTTTCTGTTTACTAGCCAAAATTAGCAGAAGTGAAATTTGGCAAATTTTGGTACTATCTGATTCTAGATTTCCATGAATGAATTAATGAATTAACTGTGTTCTATAATAATTAGGTAGTGATTGTGCTATAAGCCACATAGTTTTAGTCGATAGGCTTAATGCGATTTGTAGCTTTCTAAATATTCTAAACAGATTTTCCATTCTAGAAAAGTATATGGAGATTTCTTCACCTATCTCCATTTTCACTTGGTAGAGTTATTTCTTGAAAGAATTTGAAGTATAGATAATAAGTATTAAGCCAAATCATTTTAATACGTTAGTGCTATAACAGAGAAAACTATTTTAAAACATTCCTGCCTTTTCCATTATCTGCATTTTAATCTCTTCTGAATATGTGCTACATCCTGTATGTTTATCTTCATTACGAATGTGCCAATGTGTAAAAGAGCATATCAGTTATAAATTTTCCAGATGCTGTGTTTTACTGCAGAATTTCTGAACTGATTTATTTCAGACAACCCTTGGATTTTCCCCGCTTTTTGTGTATTATTAATATTTTTATGTTAATTGTTGTTAGTTACCGTTGAGTCAGTTTCAACTCATGGCGACCCCATGTGTGCAGAGTAGAACAGCTCAGTAGGGTTTTCAAAGCTGTGACCTTTTGCCAGGCCTGCCTTCGAGGTGCCTCTGGGTGGTTTCAAACTGCCAACCTTTTGGCTATTAGTTCAGTGCTTAACCTTTGCGCCACCCAGGGACTCCATAATATTTTTATGGCTGCAGAACAATTTGCATACTTTAAATCCTAGAGGAATAAATGTTTATTCAGAAAGGAAAAAAACTCAGTTAAAAACAAAGGTAAAAGAAACAGTGTTAGTAGCAAATCTTATGTTTTGTTCTGCAGAACATGGGGACCCAAAGGTCAGCAACTCTGTCCTGTCTTGTGAATTACCAAAAACCATGCACAATTAGCAAATTTCCTTTGTCCATGGGAGCCGATACAAAAAGTTAGATACAAGAAAAATAATTTGTTATCTAAGCTATTCAAAATGATCTGCTTTACTCATAGGAAGCAAAAATTGCATTCAAAATATGACTGTTTCACCCCAAGACTGTGTCCCCCGGACACCCTGCTTACTCAGAACTGAAGCGACTACCGAAGTCCACCTTTCATCCAAAGATTAGACAGGGCTGTAAAACAAACAATTGTGTTTATATCAGCAGAAAATATTTAATGTTTCTGTTTTTCCTTTTTTCAGTGAAGTGAGATGCTGAAGGATTTTGAAAAGCATGTTCTTTATGGCAGTTTCTTCCAGTTACTGAAAACAACCCTGGACCATCCCCAGAAGACTTTGTAGAAAAGAATAGATACCCTAACTTGAGTTAGGGAAGAGGAATGAATTGAAAATTGTGCATTTGCTAAGGCAGGATGGGATGATGGCCATGAGAGGAGAGGGGATAAAAAGCATGTCATCTCTCAGTGATGTGTAAATAGTGTGATACAATAGGGTGATTTTAAATATCACCGGAAACTTAAAGCTTTAGGTCTTTATAGAACTAAAGTAAAAGACTTAGAAAAATAATGCTCAGTTTTTTTGTAGCTTCTCTGTAGAAGTGCTAAAATAGTCACCACCCTTGTTTTATATCGTGCCGCTTAATTAGAACTCAGCCCAGTCTGTACCAGGATCCTGGCTTTCCACCCATTCCAGCTCACATCTTTTGACCTTAAGGCTGGTACCTGCTACTCCCTGGTGGAGAGCTGGTACGCTGCTGCTAACATCTATCTCCCTTGACACCTAAATGCTGTAATCATCATTGGACCTGAATAAAAGGGTTCAGACTTCAGTATACTAACATATATATAGAAATTGTGGTTCAGGACAAGTATTAGTCTTTTTGTATAAAACCTCGTTTTTCAAGTGCTCTGTTTTTGATTTTTTAAAAAGAAAACCCAAGGATAAATTGAAATTATTATCATTCCTGATCAGTCCCAAGTCATTCATGAACACTGTAAATAATGGTGTGGAGTTGAATTATCAGAAAACCAAGAGATCTTATAAATACAAAATGATACGTTTAACTCTTAAAGAAGGAAAGGATCTTGATTTTTTTTCTTTTACTTGAAAGCCATTTATAGACATTTATATAGTTTTTCTGATATTAGAAATACAGATGGTTAAAAGACTGTCTTCAAGCAATGCAAGGCAAGAAATGAAACGGGCTCTTTCCATTATTCTGAGGTCAAAAAAAAAAAAACCCATTGCCGTTGAGTCAATTCCGACTCATAGCAACCCTATAGTAGAGCTGCCCCATAAGGTTTCCAAGGCTGTAAATCTTTACAAAACCAGACTGTCACATCTTTCTCCTGTGAAGTGGCTGGTGAGTTCGAACCGACTACCTTTCTGTTAGCAGCCAAGCGCTTAACCACTGTGCCACCAGTGCACCTCATTCTGAGCTCAGAGGGATTAAAAGTCTTATCCAAGATCATGAAGCTAGTAAAGTAGATGGAGTTAGGATTTAAATGCAAATTGATGTGTTCTAAAGCTCAAGTTTTCTATTTTCCCACAGTGATTCCTCCTTATTGTATGCCTTCATATTCATTCAAAAAGTCCTTCTTTTCTCCTCTTCACCTGAGCCTGATACTATGTTAATTTCCATAGAAGTCCCCTATCTTGTCTGTGAAAGCTGTCAAGTGCTAATTACTAGATATATAATCCTGCTTTAAAAAAAAAAATATATATATATATATATATATATGTAAAAACAAATATGTTTTACTTTCAGATACTGAAATGCCTAAGCTGGTACCTAAAATCTTCTTTTGCCTTATGTTTCAGGTAACTAAGCAACCTTTTTCTCATATTTAGAAGTATGGTTGGCAAATACCTGCATTTATCTTAGGCTCTGTAGCCTGCCTCTTTTTTATTCCCACCCATCCAAAAAAAAAAAAATCGCTAGTAATATAGTGTTAGCTCATTTTTAATATTGCCAGAGTAGCAGAAGAGAAAGGAGACGCTGGTATAAAACAGCAAAATGCCACAAACAGATTAGGGTCCACAATTAGAATTTGAGAAGCTGTAAAAAATCAGTGGTTCTCATCTGGAGATG